TATTTAAAAGTTCTCCTCAAAATAGCACAAAAACTGAGTAAGCGCTCCACCTTCTGATCATACCTCCTAGCTGTTCTCCTATTTTGTCTCACTCTTTTTAACTGTTTGTTTCTCATTTCCAAGCGTGACCTTCTAAATATGCCCTCTCTACATCAGATTACTTTACTTTCTTAACTACCTGCATAATATGCTGCTCAATGCTGACTTCTCCCAGCCAGATCCTCTATCTCTGCCTACTGTGTATGTTTATATGACTGTCTTTGCATTCCTCTGATTCTGCCTTTCTTTCTCTCCCCTACAGATACACATTTTCAAGATATCTTTGTTTCCTTTAAATTTTATAAATAAGCAGTGTTAGTCTTATTATTCCTATTTTACAGTTAAGAAAACACAAATAGAGCCGCTAAGATAAATTTGAGGATTTAAATCCAAGTGCTACCCTTCCCTAATACCCTTCTGACACTGCATGGCAAAGAACTGAAAACAGCCCAATTGCAAGCCAATATTAAAACATTCAAATTCTTTTCTAAGAAGCAGATTTGGTATTTAATACACTTTATTGCCCACATTTTGGAGATTGTATTACGTTAAATGATCATGAACTGCCAGCCAACTGTCTATTCTGGAAATTTGTATCATCATTTTCATAGGTTAAACCACATTATTTAGAAACTTCACAACTATAAAAAAACATACCAACAGTGCTTCTTTGCTTCTATTTTATCTAGAAAACAGATAACTAACTAACTCAGCCACAGATGGCATTTTAAAAAAAGATACAAGAGGACAACAAATAATAATAAAACTGAAGAATGTTTTTGAAGAATGGAGAACTATACAGAAAGCTGGGTAACACAGCAAAACAAAACAACACACACAGACTGGGAGACATTTGTGTATGTTTTAAGAGAGGAGAAAATTCTCTCAAAACGCAAGCTTATTGCTCCTGAGCAACGCCCTATAACTTTTTTATCTAATGTTCTGAAAACTACAATTTTGCTGTAATTCACAAGCTCTTAGGAGTTACTCAAGCTTCACTTATACTGCTGGGCTCATTAATGGAGAACTCTAAATGCTTTCCCCACTAGCTAATAGCACATTTTCTGGTGGACAGCACAGAAGCAGAGTTCTGTTTCAACATGTGAACAGTCTACTCCCATTTCTTCTCACTTCTATAGACAGAAAATCTACAACAAATTTAATTTTAAAACTAAAAGATACGTCCAAATTACAGGTTAGGTTTCATGGTTGTCAAGGACCATCCTGTAGGTCACCAGCTTTATATACATATAATATGAAGGCTAGTTTTCAGAAATTTTTAATTAAAAATCTCTACTTTTACTCCTGGCACTAGTTCATGTACTTCCATGTAATGAGGTATATGAATGCCAAATAAAAAATCATTTATCAGTTTTATGATTTATTCTGGTGAAGTATTCGAGGATGGTTAGCACTGGAAGCTAATGAGGACAAGGTCATAGATTCAAACTCCATGTTGCTAATTAGCTTTGCAGTATTTCAGGTTCCATGATCAGTCAACAACCTTAACTTTGGTCAACAAAGAAACACTGGCCATGTGAAGCATCAGGATAGTGAATACAGATGTACAACCAAAATCCACTCCTATCAAAAAACTACATTAATAAAAATTTAAATAGTATTTCAACAAGATCCCTATTTTTACTAAGTGTGATTAGTATATGCCTAGTTCAAATAATCTCTAATAGAGGGTTATTATCCCTTTTTACAGATGGTACAGTGAATTCAGAATGTACAAACCAAAGTCACACACAGGAGAGCAAAGATTCAGATCTTTGATTCCAAAGCTTTGGTTATTTCCACACTACAATGTAGTCTCTCCTAAGTGTGTTTTAGTGACACAATACAATCAAGAAAATATTATTAAGAACTTTTCAGGATCCTCAATACTGAGTATCCACTATGCATACTTAGATGCTACAGCCGCGTGACAGTAAAATCTACCTTCCCAATTACTTTTCAGTAAAGAAAGAGTCAAAGATCAAAGTGTTTAAAACAAAGGAAAAAACCCACTATGGCACACGAAGTAGATTTTAATGAAAGTGACTGTCAGATTTTTATAAGTCTGTCGTGAAAAAAACAGTTATCTTGCTAATTCATAGCTAAAGGTCAGAATAAAACTGGAAAAGCACAGCCAGGGGATACAACAAAGAGAATAAAGGAAATAGTTCCTTAACATCTGACTCTGCAGATATGACAGTCAACATGGCTCATAGAGGAAAAGTACATATTTCAATTCTTAATCCTGAGACTTTGCCTTGACCAACAAATCATTTTTCTCTGTAAGGCTTGCCTCCTTAGTCTTTCTAAACTCACTCCTTACAGATACACACACACACACACACACACACACACACCCCAATACCAGCAACAGTCACTACAAGTTTTCACCTTAACAAAATGAGGATCAAGCCTTCCAGACTACCGATTAGGCTGAAATTTTCAAGCCTTGCTTTGGAGGAAAAAAAAAAAAATAGAGGCGGCCAAAAACTGCTGCATAAAAATCTGCCCTGGTCAATATCAAGTCATAAATATACATAACTGTTCTGCTATAAGCTACAATGTGCAGATGTGCATTCTTACTACAGGATAAAAATGTTAGAAATGAAGTACCAGTTTGATTTCAAGTAACTAGGTAAGAAGTAACTTTTGGAATATCTAGAAAAATAAAAATCACAGCACATCTCAACAACCGCCTTTTTACAACAGCATTATAGGACTCTCCAAAAGTCCTACTTTTTTTTTTTTTTTAAAATAAAGGACTTTTTTGTTGTTGTTCCTGACAGCTGAATCTAGGGCTTCATGCACTTTACTACTTACTGCTGGGCTACACCCCTAACCCCTATAACTTTTATACAAAATGCAATTGCTAAAACAAACAACACTACACTGAGAACTCCTATTTACAATATTTTTAAGCCTATAGATTAAGGATAATTAAAACCTCATTTTGCAATTAAATAAATGGAATCTCCATAAAATACCTAAAATTACCATCCTTTTTTATTATCATCAATCATCAAGACTAGCAACCAAGCAATGAGAACTTCCTTGCACCCCTTGCATTGTTAAGTCCGTTAACAGTCACATGTCATTTAATATTTACAGACACTTTGAGGCAAATGCTACTACCTCCATTTTAGAGATTAGTAAATATGTCCAGACAAGTCAACTAATACCTCCAAGTTAAAAACTAGTGAGCTACAGCACTCTAGGAAGCTGGCAGGAACACTGCAAATTCGAGTCTAGCATGGGCAACTCAGCAAGATTCTGTCCCAAAATTTAAAAAGGGCCAGGATGTAGCTCAATGCAAAGATCCTGGGTTCAATCCCTGTACCACTCCCTATAAAAAAAAAAAAAAAAAAAAAAAAACCAGTTAAGTTACAGCACTAATTTGAATTCATATTTGTTCAACTTTGTACACTAACACACTTCACTGTCACTGTTTTCTGGACCATATTCAAGTATTTTCCAATGATTTCAGAACAAATACAGGCTAAAAATACCTAATTACTACACCCTAAATCTTTTTAAAAAACTGAATGAAAAATATTCTCTACAAGGGGAAAAATAAGACAATAAGCAACTTGCTAGTCTCGGAGGGTAACTGCCAAAACAGAAACCAGACCTGAATTATTGGCTATTTATATTCTCAATTCTGTGAGAAAACAAGACTTCTAGCACATATACCCAGGATAGGTGAAAAATAACACATTTCAACTACTACACACTCAGGTTAGTAGGATTCTGTTAGAAGAACTAAGTTTAGTGTATGAGTAGTATCTGAAAAGAAGAAAGACACAAGAACTGCTAGAGACTGATACTAATTCAGCACCATACTTCGGGAGTTTTAAGCGCTTCTCTTTTTCAGATGCTTCTATCTGTGCAGTGCTGAAGACAGGTTATAAACAGAGCAAGCAGGGTAGAGAGCTGTGTTGAAAAGAAAAAAGGATTCGTATTCTGGTGGGCCTTAAAACCCACGCAAAGCTTAAAACTGACTCCACAGGTGATAAGGCCCTAATAACACCTCTTCAGAAACCTGGCCTCAGCTCATTTGTATGGTTCATACGTTTCCAGACAGACGTTCCCACTATTTATTAACTCATCTGATCTTCATAATGTACATGAACGTGATGGAGTCAGAAGCATACTATGGTTATATTTTCAACACGCTTTAGAGTCTAAAGATTTGGCACATGTATCGTTTTTGCTGAACCTCACAACCCTGGAAAGTAGAACAGAGAAAAAGACTACTACTCCCATCTTTCAGACAAGAAAACCAAAGCAGCAGTAAACGGACTGCAAGTTCCAGCAAGTAGCAGTCCGAGAATGCTCTCTGGACGTGAGACACTGCTCCTTCCCCCACCCAACTCCGAGAAGAGGCGGTATGGGGGGAGGGGACACTTTGACAATGGGATTTAAGAGTTTTACGAGGGCCGCCCAGAAAGAGCAGGAAGTTCGTCTCCCTCACAGCCCGTAACCCTGGGCTTCCAAGCAGCGGAGCGGACTCGGCGGCCAGGCTCGGAGCCCGGGAATCGCCTGCCCCGGGGTCGCCGTCTAGGAGCTGCCCCTGAGGTTCGCGGCCCACGCCCTCGTATCCCTTACGGGATGGACTCCGCTAACTACCTGTTGAAGTCTAGGAAAAGAAAGATCCCTACGCGGGAGTCACCTGGGGCGAGGGCCAAGGCGCGCATGTCGCCCCTACGAGGGCAGAAGGGACCTGAACCATAAATCTAGACCCAGGTCCCGAGGGGTCGAAGGGCGGGAACTTCCTAGTAACCTCTGTCCCTGGCGGGGGCCGACGCGCCGAATCACCGGTAACAAACACACGAGGAAAAGAACACCGGGAACAAACGCACGAGCAAAGGACGTCTGGTCCTCGACTGTGAGGGGAGGAGTAGGGGTAAAGAACCTCAACGTAAGACGCGAAGGAAAGGGGGTTAACACGAACTGACGGTTACCCGGACGCCGTCGACCTCCTCTTCCGCTGCCTCCCAGAAGCTCCGTCTCTTCCGCTCGCCTGCTGGGTCTCGCGCCAGGCCTCGACTCCGCCCCCATACCGCGAGGCCTTCTGGGGGACGTAGTCTGCGCGCCGCCAGGCCACGCCCACAGCGTTCGTCACGCTGGGCGGGGCGGGGCTGGCAAATAGCGAGGGCGGGAGTAATTTCCTCTCACCCTCTTTGCAGCCAGTGGCGTCACAGCCTAGTCAATCGTGGCTTAACTGCTGGTTCTTGAAAAAGTAATCTACAGTGTCTCTGCTTCCTACGGTCTACGGCAATCTGCACTGCTACTTCTGCCGCCTCTGAAAACTTCCTTGCTGCCGAACCCACTGGGGGTATTTTCAGGCTCATCTAACGTAAACATTACTCAGTGATGTTACACATTACCACGCACTACCCAGTTTTGCCGCTTTCTTTTCAAGCCACCCTCCTCAGTCTTTTTCAAGATTGTTTTTCGCAGCCGGGCATGGGGGCTTATGCCTATAATGTTAGCTCTATGGGAGGGTGAGGCCAGAGAAATGCAAATACGAGCTGGATGATTCGCGATTTAGCGAGACGCTGGCTCAAAAGTAAAACATGAAAAAGGGAATAGAAGTAGAAGCCTATCTGCTGGAATAGTCTAGGTGAGAAGTAATGAAACAAAAGTGCTGGCAGTGGGTTGAAGACAAATGGGTGGGGTTGACCATTCCATTAGCAGGAATAAAGTGGAAGATGGGCTGGTGAATAAAGGAAAGATCCAAGGGCAGTAATTGGTTAGATCCATTTCTTTAATCTTTAGACTCTAAAATTGGGCCTGGCTCATAGTAGGTATTCAGTAGCTGTACTGAATGAATTTGTCCATTCTGTGTTGTGCCCCATCGCTGTCAAATTGCTTAACACTGGCTCTGTACTAGCTCAAATAGTACTATTGTGCACATTAGAAAAAGTACCCCTGTCCTCCAGATTGACATCACTGAGGTGCAGATTGATGAGCACAAGAGTGGACTACAGTCTGTCTCCCACTTAACCCCCCAGCTGGTGCCCTTTTACAGTGCACAATCTGAATAACCACTTACAGCAACCCCAACTTAACATACCTTGGAGATAGTTTTGTGGCATCAAGCCAAGTATTCATGGGACAAATTTGACAGCCAGAAGAAGGAAGCTGCTTGCCTGAGCTTACTGTAGCTTCTGCTTTGACTGAGATTCAAACCTTTGCCCTCTGAATCCCTGTGGGCTCTTTAGCCCTGGAGCCACATTGTCTCTCCCAAATCACTCAACCCATCAATAAAAAGCTATATTCAAAATGGTGACTTCCCTTCCTTAAGTTTCTTATCTGTCTCAGTTACTATTGTTAGAGCATTTCACATTTACATGATATCCAATATGTGCTTGGTGCCTTACAAAATACAATAAAGCAACTCAAAACAAAAGACCTTGATTTTTTTAACCTAATAAATAAGAAAGGCTGGTTCAAAGGGTCCTTACCTCCTCGGTAAGAACAAACTGTGGTATATTAGTTTAAGGAGATGTTGTAGGTAGTAGCAAAAAATTAAAACTCAAATGCAAGCTGTTTTTTTCTTTGCATACCTGACCAGAAGAAGGCAGAGCTACTGGAACAACTGGCTCTAGAAAAGTAAACTAGAGAGCTGACCAGGGATGAAATCAAGGACAAGAAGGGAAAGAAACATCGTGAAGGAGGGAAAGTCCCCTCCTTTAATAAATAATGACATTTAGCAGTTAACAAGGGCTTAGTATGTTCCAAGAGCTGTGCAAAACCCTTTACATCTTAATATGAATCAATCCTCACACAATCCTATCAAGTGGGATCCACATTTACCATCATTTTACACTGAAGGAAATTGAGACATAGATAGAGTTTATAACATGCCCAAAGCTAAGCTGCTAATGAGTGACAAATCTGAGATTTCAAACAAGATACTCTGGCTTCAGATCTGAGCTCTCCAGGGTTGTATTATACCATATCTAATATGTTCCTTTAAGATGTTCCTGGTACCTAGGTCCCTTGTTTTAATAATACGACCTTTCAAAGTCCTGGGATAACAAATCAAGGCTATCTGGTTCTCAGACTTAGGGATTCTATGTTGTCTGTCTGCTTGGTCATTAGGACATAGTTATCACCAACCTAGTTTCAAAATGTACAGTTCAAACATGGCATACCTAAGAGATAAGTGCTGTATGAATGGTTCTGTAGGAGAAAAGTCCTAATTTTGCTGGGGGACACTTACAATCTCTTCTGAGTTTCAGTATTCTCCCAATAATACCACCTTTACCCATGTGGCATGGAAGATGAGGAAAAAAATTTTAACAAGAAAAGATATGTAAATCTTCTCCTTGGAAATGTGGGCCCTGATTGATGGCTTTTAAATTAAGGCTTCTTTCTTTTGACTTTCAGCTCATAATCACAGAGTATCCAAATTTTACTGGGCTTTTGAATATTGGGACCTTCATGACTAACATCAGTAAGTGCTACAATCCAGAATTGCATGGATCTAAGGCATCAAGTAGAGTTTTTTTTTTCCTTTAGGACAATAGGAGGGCAAGACACCAACATATAGTTCCCATTTAAATCACAAAGAGAACCAAGAGAATTCTCACAAGTGTCATTAACTCCAAACTCCAAAACCTATGTCAGAGGTCTTGCCAACTCTCACTGAAGGCACTTTAAAAAGGTTATGGCAGCAACTACTATTTAGGCTGACTCTCTGGGCTGTGAAATCACACAGCATCTGAGGCTATTGTCCACTAAGGCTCTTCTACCCATCTCTTGATCTCAGGGCTTGCATTGTATAGCTACACTACCCAATGCCACCACATCTACTTGGACGGAAAAACTTGGTGATGTTGTGTCCACATTTATCCTGGCTGAATCATCCGTGAACAACTTGACTCCTTATGGCTGTTAATTGATAAATAGTTTGGACTTTTGGGTTCCAACATAGCATCATTTATGCCTGATTTTGACACCTGAATACCTACTTTAAGATATGGATCAAAGCTTACTTCCCACTCCAAAATGCTGTTGAGGACCTCTGACATTCATCAGAGGCTTTGCTGAATACCTACGAAGAGAAGGAAAGCAGAGTAGTATATGTAAGGGAACAAACTTGAGATAAGGACCTCCAAAATTTCTACTATTGTAATATATTTAACTTTAGATCATTTACTAAAACCCAGTTTCCTCATCTGTAAAATGGAGACCCACAAAGAGTGCTTACCCCATCAGATAGTCATGGATATTAAGATATATAACAGATGAGAAATGGTTTGGTAAACTAAGGGGCTAACAAAGAGGTTAGCTACACATTACAAGAAGTTTTGACCATAAGGTGCCTATATGAACAAGAAATAATTAGAGTTTTAAAAGTTGCGACATTAATTCTTTTTCCCTTCGAATAGTTATACAAGTAGAGTGATCCTTCTTTTTTGGGGGGGGGAGTTTGGGGGGGGGTCTTCTCCGGTACCGGGAACTGAACTCATAACCTTGCGCTTGCCAGGCAGGCGCTTTTGCCGCTGAGCTAAATCCCTAGCCCAAGTGACCCTTCTTAAAAATTCCTTTTTAGGATACAATCCTTCACTCCCAAGCCATTTTCCATGCCTCATAACACCAAAAGGCTTTTATCCACTGCTATCTGATAGATGATTATTCTTTCCATTCAGTGCCAAAACACCAAGATGAAAATTTGGCTATACATGTCAAAAAGTTGTATTTTCAGGGACAGCCTAAAATTTATAGCCCTCATAGAGGGCTATAGGGCCCCAAATTGACACACTTAACTCAAGAAAGCAAAAGATGGAACTTCTTACTTGTTGAAACCTGCTGTGTTATTTCACACCTCCTTCCTTTTGCAGGTGCTTTCCCTTTCTCTCCTTCTTCCACCTCCATCAGAACCTAACTCATGTTGCCTCTACAAAACTTTTTCAACTTCCTTAGATGAAAAAATGACTTCTTCCTCCTTCCTTTTCCATTCCTCTTGAGAGACTCTCATAATCCTTGGTTATAGTGCTCCCCACCAAATCACAATTATGTGTGTCTCTACCCCACAAGAGTGTCGTTAAACACAACTCATGGCACATGGGCCCCACAATTGTGTATTGGATGAACTGGTCCTCCTCTATTCTGTCAGAAAGTGTGGGGAATGGGAAGCCAATGGAAAAATCAGAGAAAACCAACAAACCAATGACTTTAGTTTACACTATCCTTCTCAAGACACTTTTGCAGGCAGACCTCCTCCCTGTTAATTCTTTTACCTCCAGAAATAATCTTGCAAAGCATATGATGAATTGTCTGGGAATAGGCAGAACTTCACAAAGAGTAACTCCACTTGACCTTGTCTCTCTACCCACACCTAAACTAGTTAATAATAGTCAAGATCTCTGAAGTTGAATGGCCTGAGTTTAAATACTAACTCTATAATTACTAGATATGCAACTTTATGTAAGTTATTTAATCTTTCCATGCCTCAGTTTTCTGATGCACAAAGTAATAATGACATCACAGAAGGTAGACAAGGGTTGTGAGAATTAAATAATACAATCTATGTAAAGTTCCCAGCTCCTGGCAAACAAGTGCTCTATAAATGGTAGCTGGTTTGTAAGCCGTTCAATCTTAACGATGACAAACTCTATTTAAGCCCTCTGAAGGTTGGATTTGTTCCAAGACATCCTGGGTGGGGGCAGGGGGGGATTGTGGTCACCTGGAGTTCTGTCTGAAGACATAAACAACTGGTGTCATCGACTTTTATTTCTAATCTGGATCCATAGCTCACCAGTCATGGCTCTAGCCTAAGTAGCTTATCTTCCCAAAGCTGTAGGTCCCCAGCAAGGCTGGCAGTACTGAGCTGCCTTGCAAGGGGGTGCTGAGAAGATCAATTCATGTTAGTAAAGTGCTTTGGAAATGTAACATGCTAAATATTAATGGGTCTTTCTGAGTGTCGGGAAATGTGCAATCTGAACTTTGCTCAGGGTAAGCTGAAGGTGGGGAGAGCAATTCTGGGCAGCCTGATTGCCACATCCTTGGTCTAATTGGGAGGTGGTGCTGGTGGGGAGTAGTGCCTG